GGGGGGGGGGGGGGGGGGGGTCGTACACATTGCTGCTCAGGGTCCGTTATGAACCTGGGTGTCTTATTTTTATTTATTTTTTCTCAAGTGTTTGGTACAGCAGTAACTCACGTGATCTGGATGGATCGGCTGCGTCTGTTTCGCGCAGCAAGGGTTGCAGCTCAGGGCAAATGTTATCGGCACTCGAAACGGCTCCGGATGTGTCTCGAGCTACTCGAACGAACGAACGCGGTTCTTGGAACCAGACGTGATGCACCAACTCCTGCTTGTACCCGCCTGGTCAGAGTCCGACCCCCCGTAGAGTTGTTTGGATGTTGGTTGTGGCTGCGACATCGGCGATCAATAATTTTGTTGGTACAGCGGTTCTTTCCATATCGATCAAGCGGTGCACAAGCAAGGAGTAGGAGCGTGTGCGTTTTTTGTCTGCCTACACCAGTACGACGAGATCTCAAGCATGAGAGTGTCGGTCGGTGTTTCGTTGGGTGGTCTAGTGGTGATTCCATGTGTCGCTGAGAAGGCGCTGTCCGACATGCGAGCGGGCAGTGGTAGCGGACGTTCAAGCCACGCTGCTGTGTGTTTCCTGTATCTTTGTTGCCCCTTTGTAAAAAAGTCCATTGTTTATTTGAGTGTGCGTGTTGTGGTTTGCTTGCATGACGCTTCGGCGGCGGGGTGGGGCAGTGGGCGGAAAGAAGTCTTGCGGTGTGTGTGGCGTACTTAAGGGCACACCTTTTTTTTTGTTACTGACTCCTGACTGTTCGTTTAGTAATAAGGCGCCGGTTTGATGGGAGATCTGGTTCTCTCACGCAATCTGGTAAGAGAGCCGTTTTCGTTTACCATCGTGGTCACTCTTGGCCCAGCACGAGGAACTAGTGCTTTGTTTGCAGAGTGCCCCTCATGCCTCGATGCCGTTCATCAAGTATGAAGTTCGAGGCAACCCTGGAAAAAGTTGGTACGCTTCTTTGTCATTACATAAGAGTACTCAGGACAATCTCTGTGTATGTCCAAACCTGACTTAACCGTAGGCGGATGGAGCTCTCCGAAACACACAAAATTTCCACGCACGAAGTACTCTATGTGTTCGTTCACATACGCCTTCAGGTTACCTGTCTTGAAACGAAGCTGTTGCATTTTTTTATCCAAGGAAAACACCCGTTTTTGGGTGTTAGGTACGTGATGGTGGACTTTTCTTCAAGTCGTTTTACTTGGTTCCTGCCGCGTGCATGTTCCCAAGCACTCCCCTGTCGTGAGGGGACGCCTGGTGGAGTCAACGAAAACCTCGTACAGCGCGTTGATTCTGCCGCCCACTGTCACTCAAGACGACCCCAACAGCGGCTCCCATGGCTAAGGTGGTGGGGTGATGGCATTAACCATGTAGCGCTTTGCGAGCACGAAAAGAAAATGAACTACGCACGGACACGGGCGTGCCGTGCGTGAAGCATGTGGACTGGCGAAGAGAACTACTGTTGTAGGAGCACATTCGGACAGTAAATCAAGTGATTAAAAAAATGCAATTTTGGGGTCACGGGAGGAGGCGTGTACGGAGCGGCGACGCAGCGAGCATGACAGAGGTGTCCAACGCTGGATGCCGCAGCAGGGGCGGGGAATTCAATCACCACCCCGCCGTTCATGATGATGCGGTTCGCATGGGGTCCGTTTTGTTGTCTTGCTGAGGTTGCGAGCGTGTCGCACAACAAGGGCATCGAATCCCGCTCCTCATCGATCAGCGCCAGATAGATCGTGGAACGATGGGAACATGACGCGTACAGCGTACAGCAGTAATCATCATGGCCTACAGCTGCCACTATACATAGGTGTGATGAAATCATCCCCATAGCAGAGAGAAACAAAATCGTGAGCAAAACAAACGAGAACACGAGAGTTTAGTAACATCTCCCTGAAACAAGCGGAGCATATCATGATGAGCATGCATGCCAGCAAGGGGAAAGGGAGAAAAACGCGCTGAGCAAGACGAACGCAAGCAAGAATCCAGTACACCTTCACGACAACGCCAAAACCTCCGCAGATCGCACATCTCAAGAACCAACCAGCAAGTAGGGGCACAAGCTAAGAATGTGCGGCGAGACACGCACTCATACTCGCCCACGCACGCAACGCAGACGTATAGATAAAATACATGAACGCCGACAACATAAAGCAAACGAAGGACAAGACGCCAAGAAGGGGGGCTCGACACAGAAGGGAAACCTCCCCCGCCCTCGCGGAAAAAAACTACAGCTTGTGTGATATCAAAACGATGTGGGAAGGACAAAAAAAAAGAAAAAGCAACGCCAGCGTATGCGTTAATTTTACTGAGCTTAACAATGAACGTCTTGTGGCTAATTATAGCTCAAAAAAACACAGCGGCGCCCCCTCCCGACGAAAACACACAAATACTCTCTCTTGGTACCTCCCCCAGCCCTACTTCATCCCCCTCCCTCCCCCGCATAAAGCCAAGACTTTCGGGTTTTGAGAGGATGTGTGCTGCGCTCATCGAGGCTTGATAGACATATATGCGTAACCACAACAAATAGCGCTCAAGCCACTAACTGCGCTGCATTTCCGGCCCACAGCAGTAGTTGTGCACCGTATTTACGCTATAGTAGTAGGTGCCCCCACTTTGACTGTCTCTTGCAGCGAGCGGACATGGCCCAAAAACATTAGAACAAAAGGAAAGCACAAAATGCAACAAATGACGCGCGGCCGCGGCATGATTTTACTTAGATGAGACACCCACGATGAATATCTCGTACAGCAACTGAGACTGGATGACCCACACCTTGGTTGCACCCCGTACCTCACCGCCCGTCCCCGCTTCCGCCCGATTTCGGCGACCATCTAGACTCACACCAAACATCCCTCGAGTACCGCATACTTGCCTCGTAACCCCCCCCCCCCCACTCCCCTCCTAAAGAACCTGTACTGCCTGCACAGGTTGAAGCAGACGACATTGCGCAGTACCTCCCCCACCATCTCTCCATCAAAAACCTCCCAAGTACCACAATGTGTCTCACGGATTCCAACAGCAAAAGCGGATCGGATTGGATCGGGTCGTCAGCTGATGGTGCAGCACCCTCCTTCCGCGGACGAGGTGGAAACGGGCGTAGCTCCCGAAGTTTCGGCCACGGTTCTCGGAGCTGTTGCCGCAGCAGCCGACGATGTTGACGCTTTCGTGTCGGCACCACCTGTCCCACCGTTGACACCCGCCACCTACGCGCGGGTTCGGATTGGAACCAAAATGATTCACATTTGGAACCAAAATGGGAGGGTTGCTGGTAACGTGAAAACCGGTCGACAGCAGTAGCCAAATCGGAGGCGGTCAACCCTACTATTACAGCAGGGTCTCGTGCACCACAGAACTATCGCGTCACAATGATGCAGATAGTCTGTTATTGCCCCACCTCAATATCGTCGTCAGAGTGGGGGCGGGGCGGGAGCGGCGTTGAGAAAGGCCGCTCCATTTGCCAAAGAAAAGACATGAAAAAAGTCTCGATCGTTTGCTTCGGAAACACCACACCACGGACACGAACGAGCTATGGACAAAATAACCACCACAGTTACGGAGCCAGTATACACACTCAGCCAGCCGTGAGGGGAGGCAGCGACACGAAAGGCCAAGCAAAACCATGCCACAAAAGGAGATAATCGTGCGGACAATCTCTAGTGAACTGCGGTGTACAGATCTATTCCTGATAAACCAGGAACAGTCAAAACATGCCGCCCACAGCGCCCAACCAGGCTCTCACATCCGTCGCGCCAGCGCCGGTGCCTCCGGCAGCGTTGGCCGTGTTCTCGTCCTCGCCAGAATCGCCGACAGCGGCAACAGCGGACTCCCCTCCTTCGACGAGAACGGGCGGGACGTCGCCCTTCGACGGCGTAGCCCCTGCCGCGTCCCCTCCAGTCCCGTCAGCGTTACCCCCTTCCCTTGCTGCCGGGGTAGGCGATGCTCTTCCGTTCGTCGTCTGTTGTTTATTATTGGTGGTGGTTTTTGTGCCGTGGGGAGATTTCGGGGGGAAAGGAAGAAAACCCGGCGATACGATCACGAATACAGCAGGCAGAGGGGGGGGGGAACGCACACATCGTTCCGGGTTAACGAGAGATGGTGCGCCCAGTCGCACGGGGGGGGGATTGCTTCTTAACTCTGGGGGAGGCGTTGCTTCTAGAGTTTGTTGGCCGTTGGCTGCTCTGCTGTGGGCCGCCTGGCCTGTTGTATCCGTTGTCCGCATTGATTTGTGTATTTTTTTGGAGTGCCCAGACAAATCCGCATTTATGCCTCTGGAATCAGGCTCCTGGATAAAGAGCCAGCGGGATATAATCAACCTACATCCGCGATCCGGGTGACGACCGAGCACGCGTTGCGTGACCCGCCACTCCAAAAACAAACAACGAAACGCGAACACGCGATGGTTGGCGCTCATCCACGGCACGGCGGCCAGCAACCACCTCGGACAAACGCAACCCCTTCCAAACGAAAAAAACGCACACAAAAAAAACTACGCCGACATCTTTCACCCCTACTTCTGCCGCGCATGTTTCCGTCCCTCGCGTCCCTCCCGCAACAAAAACTCCCAGCCCCACCAAATGGCCGACCTCGCTCGAAGCCGCCGCCGCCGCCGCCGCCGCTGAAGCCGATCCCAAGCTCTCCACCGAACCACGGGCCTCCCCACCCCAAGAACCAGAAGGAGAAGCGCTGGCACCGCCGCCAGGCACGGCGATGCCGTCCCGGGCGGATGAAACGGATGCCGCCCCAGCCGCCGCCGCCGCCGTTGACGAGACCTCTTTCGACGCGAAAAGGCTGCTCGAGCTGTTGTTGCTGCTGCGGGTTTTGGCGCCGCCGCCGCCGCCGCCATCCGTCGGGAGCGGGATGTACCTGTGCTCCGATTGGAACAAAATATTGGGAACGTTCAGTTCTCGGTATAGTTTTTACTCCCGAGTTTTTGTTTTGGCTTGTTTCTTCGTCGCTGATATTTAGTTGTATTGGTTGCTTCGTGGATTAATTGGACGTTTCCCATCCCACGACTAGAAAACTCACGGCCAAGAAAGACGACAGCAGGGGATGCCGTTGAGGGCTACCCGCGACAAATCTTGCGCAATGCCGCAGTGAATCCCAGAACGCATTAATCCTCTGCCCTCCCTCCCTATCAAAACCACCCAGGCACAAACTAACTGACGCACACCTCAAAGAAAAGAAAACATGCAGCGTATGAAACCACAGCATATCTACCAACGTGGACGTTGCACGTGTACCCTGACCCCACACGCGCGTGACCGCTGTTCTCCAATGGTCCGGCGGCGAACCTACGACGCACGTAGATGCAGTACCTGGTGGGTCCTTCGCCGGTAGACGGAGTCCCGGCGGTGGATGCGTTTTCGGGCTTATCGTACTTGACGACGAACTTCTCAAGGGTCTCGCGCCGCTGGGTCCAGTCTGTGCCCAGTCGCCCTGCGCGGCCACATATGAGAGGTGTAGTGGAGGATCGGAGCAGCAGCGGATGGAAAGCGTATGTGTCGTTAGCTGTGGGCGGGCAACATCTTGTCGATACATAGACGCTCAATGTTTTCGAGCGATACACCTCCGCGAACGGCTACATAACCTTGGCGGCAGCAGCACCAGCCGCAGCAGCAGCTGTGCATACAGCACGGGAGCCTACGAGACTACAACAGCAACGGCACGACACTGGTAAGAACTGGCACAAGCCCTCCCACAATCTCAGCAACAGCACGAAATTGTTTCAAGACGCAAGAACCGACGTAGACCTCCACATTTCGCGCACATCACATGCGCCTCCTACATCCCGAAGCAAGACTAAGTAAAAGGCCCAGACGGGCAAGCACAAAGGGCTTTTACTTCTTGGGCAACACGTTTTTCCTACTTTATGTGCACCTGTGCCCGAACCGGCTTTGCCAGTCCCTCTGTCGCCTCCCTCGATCGCGGCAATGGCCTGCTGGTGCATCTGAGCCCTGCCCTTGACCGATTGCTGAAACGCACCAAATGATTACACATACGACACCACGGAAGCCGACATACAACGGAGAGCACACGTGCGCGCGCGTGAAAAACGGACGTCGATTCCGGCAGAGAAAGGAGGCCAGGCAGGGCAAGCGGGGGGGGGGGGTGAGAGACTGGAGTGTCTGCCACGAAAGTATCGACACGGCTTCAAATCAACAACAAGGTAAGGAGGTAGTGGCGCGCTTCAGACAACTGTGCCAATGGCGGTTATCCCACAGACATGCCTTTGCCTTCTTAACCGTGTGTCGTCACCCCCGCCACAAACCCACCGGTACCAACCACACCGCGACGGGATCCTCTCATCCACTCTACTCTACCTGTCGAGACATCTCGGCGGAGATGAGGGGAAAGTCGGTGTCCTGCCTCTCCGTGGCGTGCTTCTGCCGCAGTGCCTCCTGCTCCTCTTTGAGCTTGCGCGTCCGCTCCGAGATGGCCCCAGACGAGATCGTCGCCGCAGCATCCTCGGCGGAAAACTGGGACTGAAAAGAAAAACGAGAGAGAGAGGTAACAGACACAAGAAAAGGACGCGCGCACCAAAACAATGTGGTGTTACGTTGTAGGGGAACTATGAAGGATGATGTCGGATGGAGAAATTACAATGAACAGTTGTGCTGTGGTCGTTTTCAGGAAATGAAGAATAGAGCACCAGGTGTGACGCCATGCCGTGGTGCTCCGAATTCGAGGGCTCTCATCGAGAGGAAACGTGCATCTCTCTCTCTCTCTCTCTCTTTCTCTGAATTCTTAATTCCTTCCTACAACCATCTGTTTACCACTCAGCCACAGCAGACGAACCTTGTTCTTGAGTTCAGGCACGACGCCGGTGATGGAGGCCTTCCTCTCCAGCACGACTCCAGACTCGATCACCCTCTTCGCATGGCCCGCCGAAAATTCTGCCGTGTGAACGAACAAAGTGAGCGCAGCAGCAAGCCAGTCCGGAGACACGGTGACTTTCCAACACTAGACTCGAATGTGCCTGTCGCCCTTGCTGCTGCTACTGCTGTTGCTGCCATCGGCGTGAGGTGGTTCGCCATTCAAGCATGGCCAGGCGACCAAGCCACGTACACGTCACACTCGAAGAAGTCAGCAGCACTATTCTACAAAACGAGCTCGAGCTAGCACCAGACAAGGCCCGAAACGAGCTGTTGCAATGATTTCGTCACGCATGGTCCCCAAGCTCAGCAGGAAACAACATCTGCCTTCGATCCAACAGACCCCAAAACAGCAACACGGCTCCCACCGGTGTCACGCTCAGCAACGGCAGGGGGCTTCATGTCGCCAGAAGAAGAGGCTTCACCGTCAACGGACCCCTGGACACAACAGTTACCGTCGCCACCACAATTAAGGTCGCCGGGAGTAGTGCCAAGGAGACCAGGGCGGGCACGCAGGCGGGGGAGGGGGGGTTGAACAACGGTTGAGGGATGGTGATGCTGGAGAGGAGATGGAGGAACGACCGCACAAGGGATCGAACGCTGAGCGAGACGCGCCGTTGCTTCTTGAGACAAGAGCTGTAACAAAACGTCCCACCAGCAAAAACAGGCAACGGTGGTTTCGTTCGGTATTCCCAGAGAGTCGACAACTAGCGCATGCCTTTCCCGATGGGCTGGCTCCACCTCCGCACGAGCACTGCCGCTACTCCCGCCCCGCCACACCAACGGTACACGCCAGAGCAGGCCGTGGGGCGAATCGCCGCTCGGGGTGTGCTCCACGCCACTGCCTGCTGCTGCTTCATCAATATTTCCACACACGATACCAAGGCGGGCGACGCGCCTACTTGGCTCAAGCAATGACAACTGGCACTCGGCATCCACATCGGGGACTCGGAGGAAAATGACAGACAGCCCCCATCACCTGCTCGGCCGCGGCCCAAAACATACTGCAAAGGCACACATTCAAGTGATGAGAGAGACACGCGGACTCCATCTCACCGACGCGTCGGAGGCCTTGCTCGCGTCATCTGCCAACGCCACCGCTTCTTCAGCCCCCTGTCCCTCCTCCTCCTCCTCCGCCGCCGCCGTCGCGACCCCTTCCTCCTGCCCGCTTCCTTCTCCCGCCCCGCCGTCCGTCTCCCTCTCCACAGCCCCAGGGGCTTCCGCCGCTTGCCCATCCTCCGTAACCGCCGCGGTCGCTGCCGCCGCCTCCGCGGCTTCCTCGTCCGAGTCCTCCAAGAACGACTTCATCTCCGCGGCAATGCTCTCCTTCCTCCTGTCCGCGAGGCCAGGGCTCATCGCCGGCACTGGCGCCGCCGCCACAGGCGCCGCCGTTGTTCCCGCCGGGGCCGCCGCCGGCGCCACCGCCGCACCGTCGCCGTCCGCCGACGATGACGGTTCGACGGCGACCTCGAGGACCTCGACTGATTCCTCATCTCCATCCTCTTCCCCCGACCCCGCCTCCTCTCCGGCGGCGGCGGCGGCGCTGCTCTTGTCGGAAGTCGCGCCGTCCCCGAACCCCATGTTGGACGCCAGCCCGGACATCCAACCGCCTCCCTTCTCTCCGTCGCCGGACACCGTGTCCGCCGTCGCAGTCGCCGGTTCCGGTTCCGGTTCCGGTTCCGGTTCCGGTTCCGGTTCCGGTTCCGGCACCGCTTCTGCCGCAGCCGCCGGTCTTTCTTCCGCTAGCAACGCATCTGCTGCTCCTGCTGCTGCTGCTGCCGGTGCGGTCCCTTCCGTAGGGTACTCCACGTCCTCGGGGACAGAGCCGGCTCTATCGCCTCCTTCCTCAACCACGATTTGCGCCGACGATCCCGCGGCAGAGTCAAGCCCTCCTGCGCTTGACGCCAAATCTCCAATTTCCTGGAGGGAGGGCGACGGTGTGGGTTTGGGAGTAGCCAAGGGGGGCGAGGGGCGACGGTCAATTGCTGTTCTCGAATAACCTCCACTGCGGACCATAGTTGTCCAGCTACGAGGCGTCTTGAGTGTTTTTCCGGGCGTGACATTCGCGTGTGCCGGGCGAGAGAGAGAGAGGAAAGAGAGAGAAACTGTCAAATTGCGGAGGGGAATAATTCAAGCGTTGGGCGTCTTGGGCCTTTGTCAAGCCACAAGAGACGAATTTCGAAAAAGAAAAACGTCGATGTGCCGGTACCAGCACCGGCGGCCTCCCGGGGCCAGTTCTGCGATGGCTCCGACAAACGAATATCGTCCGCCACCCTTCCGTCCCACACCATTCCGAGGGAGACGACCGTGATAAAAACGGAAAACACGCAGGCCTTGCCAACCATTCGACACAATCATCGCCATGCATACTACTACATGGTCTGCGTCAAGCTGCTGTGGTAGCGGCCCTGGCCCAATCGACCATGCTGCTGCTCACCTCGGTGTGGAAGGTCGCGGAGTCGGAAACCGTGTTGAGCACGCCACTCGTGCCGCCGTCCAGCCCCTGTTGGACCAACTCTGACGCGGTCGCGGCCTCCATATCTCTCACTATCCCTCTCCCCCTTCAACGCAATACCCCTGTGAAAAAAAAAAATTCCTCCTGCTTATCTCGTTTGCCTCTCGCCCCAAGCCTGGCTAGCGCTGCTTCACTTCTCAAACTTGCGAGTCAGCTCCGCGATCCTCCCGCTGGTGCTCCGCTTTCCGCCGCCGCCGCCGTTTCGACCACCCCCGACGCCCGCACTTGGACCGAGCCCCGCGCTTCCCAGCCTGCTCGTCAACCCCTGCACGGGGGCCGACGCCGATCCCCCCGCTGACTCTTGCTCCTGCCGCTGTTCTTTCCGGGTGTAGGGAGCGGGTGCCGACGAAGGTTCTACGGTCCAGCGCCTCGAAGAAACCGAGCTCGCCGCCGCTGACGGTGTCTGCGAGGCGTCGCCTCGAGCGCTACTGCTTGCTGACCCCTTCCCGCTGCCGTCGTCGTTGCCGGGCGGAACCTCGACGTCCGCTGGTGCCGGAGGAGGCGGCGTCTTAGGCGCCGAGCCAGACGATCCAGCTACACCGCCGCTACTGCTGTCGGCCTTGTTGTTACGGAAGCTGCCGAACCGGCTAGCGCTGAGTTTTCCGGGAGTAGGCCTATCCGCACTCCCCGCGGCCTGGTCTCGCTGCTGCTGCTGCTGCTGCTGCTGCTGTGACGGAGGGTTCGGCAACGGCCCTGCGGCGGTGGTGCTTTCGGCGGCGGCGGAAGAGACCCTCCCGTCTACCTGCCCGAGCGACGCGAGGCAACCCCGGGGCCTCGGTTCGGACGAAGCCGCTGCTGCTGCTGCTGCTGCTGTTGGGGCGCTGCTGCTGTTGTTGCTCACGAGGGCGCCGCCGGCAAGGCTAGTTTTGGTCGTGGATGGAGCTTTGTACGAGTGCCGCTGGGAGGATGGCGGCCCTGCTGTTGCCGCCGCAGCTGCTGTTGGAGCCGCTCCCGGAGCTTTGCGATTTGGAACTGCGCCGCCTGCTACCGCTAGCCCGTGCTTTGCGAGATCTTCGCGTAAGTACTGTCTCACGCGGCGGAACGAGGCAAGGGGGGGGGGGGGGGGGATACGCAAACGGGAAGCAGATAGTCCGTGCCAGAAATCGACAGGTCAGGGTGTGGTGCGGCCAATAGGGCGACAAAGGAGGCAAATGATGCCGCTGCGCCGACCCCCACCCAACATTATTTGCTCCGGTGATAGCACGCAGGGAATCTACTGCTGTTACACACTTCCGGATTGGTGGTCCGGATCTAATGCGGGTACGTATGACACCGACTTGACCGGCAGAACACCGGGTACCCGACAGTAGTATCCGGAAACTGCTGTATCGGCACCACTACGGCGGTATTGCGTCCGTCGTGTAACCGCAGCGACAGCAGTGTGTGCGTGCCGTGTGTCCAGGGCACCACACATACAAACGCTGCTGTTGGCTTGTGTAGACTGGTAAATTTCAGGTTCCGTGGGGTTCGGGTAGACGGCAGCGATAGCATGTACAAGTAGCAGTTTGAATCTTTGGACCCTTCTACAAGCATGCATGTTTCGAAAACAGGGAGGAACTTCGCGCCTTCCCCCGGCTTCCTGCTCCGGGTAACACCCCTACAGCAGCATAATTGTATGACTGCCGGGCACGACGAGAGAAGGTACAAAATGCTCCTCTACATGTCCAAGAAGCACTAGAAAATGCACACCTTCCGGCACGCACAACAGCAGTCAGTCGTCTGGTTCGTCTGTCTTGATGTAGCGTATGCACACATGATGGATATCAGGTTGATGTCACGGTTGAGCAGTTTTGGTTGAGAGAGCTTCAGTACATATGTACGTACATACCGGGATAGACTCATTGCTGTTAACGTAAAAATTTATGCACCTCGAACATACAGCAGTATCCCTTTTGACTTACAACACACATGTGGTGATGAAGGAAGCAAGAGGAAGAAGGAAGAAGTTGTGTGTGGACAACCATGATAGTTTGCTGGTGCACCGGGGACGGCGGCAGGCGGTGACAATTATTTACCCGTCTGGGGAAAAACACAGAAACTGTTCCACAGCCTTTCGTTCACGGTTCACACATCAAGCGTGCACCTACACATGCAGTGGCGGCCGCAAAGCAGCAACAGCCCAGCCCCAGCGCCCCCGGACCACTTTGACTTTGTCCAACGTTTGTCCCGTGCGGCACAACACACGGCGCAAAAACTGTTCGGATGTTGTGCACATGCTAGATGCGCCCTCTGGAAGAGCTGAAAAACAGATTCCTCTCCCCAAAGATGTGTACATTGCATATCGTTCGGGTTTATTTCGCGGGACGCCGCTCAGCCGGGAGGGAGATACGAGAAGGGCCGCCAGTGGGCTCCGCTCTGGGTGCAAGCCACAAGGACAAAACATTGCACCAGCACGCGCACGACCCATGCTTCTTCTCGTTGCGGCGGCATCGAACTTCTCGTCCAAATGCTGATCTTGATGCTACTGCTTCTCTATTGCTGTGGGTCCTCCATCACCAGTCATCAGACTCATCATGGAAGTTTGTACCCTCTTTGTCTACGCCCCCATCATGTTGCGACTTGCGCCCCACCGCCAGCACCACCAAGACCCCCCGGCAGCACTTGCAACAGAGGGGCAGAGCGGGAGAGTCCTCATTCCGGACGATTCGGGTACTGAACAAGAACACAATAGCAACAACATAGACACACAATTCCAGTGCGGAATGCCGCAACACATACATGGCGTACCAGCCATGCTTGGTTGGTGCAAGGAAGGAGGAAGGAGTGACTTACCTCGTTTAGCGTTCCGTTTCGCTGAGCACGTAGCAGGCCAACGGGGTCCTGATTCGGTCAGTCAGTGTGCGATGGTGCGGCCGATACAGAAGCGAAAGGGATGCACGCAGGCGAAGCGCGCGCGAGAAGAGAGGGGAGCAAGGGTTCAATCGCGTGTTGCTTGGTTGCTCCAAAAGTGACATCGGCAAGCTGGGATTCGCGGCCGAACAGCCAAAAACACGACGCACAAAGATAAGGCAGGGTGGTCTGGGCGTAAAGTTCTTGTGTGCAAGCAGCCCGCACTCGTTCGTTTGAATTGTTTGTGGTCCAAGCGCGCACGACCCCCCGCACATGGCGAACGAACAAGACTTTTTTTCCCGGTGAGCGTTAGGGGTCTGGACAAGCGAGGCGAGGTACACACAGCACGGCAGACAGCAGTATTGTTCCAACCAAGAAACGGGCTCATAATAAAACACACAGGCACGGGACAACACGGAAAACACAACCACCCCTCTGTTCAATGTGCATACCTCTTTGCGCTTCGAGCTTAGGATTTGGCTGAGTTTCCTCTGTCCTTCCGCTTTGCTGATGGTGCTCATATGTCGTCTCCCGGGACGTCTGTGTGCCTTCGGAGCGCGCCAAAAGGCCGAGCCGCCCTCCTATCCTCCCGGGCAAAAATATGACTTTGTAGACAGAGGGGTTGATGACAGATAGATGCTTGATGGAGAGGGAATCCCGCGCCCCTGGGTGGTGGGTCCTACACGCCTTTTTCTTCTCCTCTTTGTGTGTCTTGCCTTGGCAGTGGGTCAGCCTACGGCAGAACGTTGCAGATATGTCACGGCAGCTGTACGTCTCTCGGATCCAGCTACGTCTGTCCGTCTCGTCTGTCACACAGCAGTCGGTGAGTGAGCTGCCCGTTTTAAACTTCGGAAAATGGTGGAGCCCCGCCTGCTCTTCTCTTCTGCAAGCACGGGGCCACCTTGACCTTTTTTCGTGTGCGCTTGTGCGGTGGGTTGGGTCTCGGGGCTTGTACTCTTGTACACAGCACACAGCAGACCGTTGTGATCGTGTGTGTCGTCTCTCCCTACACTCCACCAGTCCACACACACGTAAGAAGTAAGGAAGAAGTTGGTTAGTTACAGTGGTAACCTAAGGAGGAGAGTTTACCCTGCAAAAGGTGAGACAAGAAGCCAACTTCACTGCTCTCGCTGCTGGCAAAGAACTGCTTCGGGAAGGTACAGCAGTACACACACGTTTGTGCCATCAAAGAAAGAGACGAAGGGGCCAGAGTGCGGCTGGAGTATCATGGCAGCTATGAGAGGCGGGAGAGGTGGGATTGAGGATGATCTCATCGGCGCCGTGAAGGAGATTTCGAAATTGAGCAAGGAGAATAAGACGGTCAAGCGCGACCTCGCTTCGGCTGTGAGCGAGAACGCCAGGTGAGAGGAGAATCATGACACGGACCTGCGCTAGAGAGAGAGGCTATGTCCTACAGCAGTACAGCAGTTCGCCTACGACTCTGCTAGCGTACTAGTGCGAAGCCGTACCCGACAATAATGCCGCCGCTTGAAAATGTCGGGGTTCGCCGCTCAATGGATCCAACAACGATCTCTCACGCCGCGTGGCGCCACGTTGTCCACCGCGGCACATACATGTACCCCAACCCCAATTCCATTATCTAAATAACAAGTTACCCAGGGAGATAAACCTGTAGACCCATGAACAATGCCGCTCGGGGAACCGTAGAATCATAGGTTGGTCGTTGTCGTCATGCTATGAATTCGTCGTCAACTTATCCCTGACTTTACCACCGTGGGTAGAGGTGAATCTGTTGTGTTTTTTTTTTTTTTGAAAACAGAGGAGACTTCAACCAAACGCTGGTGTACGCCGAGTCTGCCACCGGAGTTGAGTTGATCCCTGCTGTGGTACTGGTGTCATTTTTGTAACGCGTAGAACACAAGGAGATTCTCCGCCTTAGTGTCGTCGATCTCGGTAAGTCCCAGGTCAGCCAAGCATGTTCTGTCTACGGTAGTCTGATATCCTCCGAATCCCTGGTGAGCAACGCCAACTCGGGCGGCGCTTCTCTTCTCGCTTGGTCCTCCGCTGCTTGGGATTGAGCCATACCTTGGAGAGGGATCCCATCCAACACTGGTCCATCGGGGCCTTTCCTTCCCCAGCCCCATCACGGGCAACATGCTACGTGTTTTATCGTCACCCGGGCGTCCGCTTCGCGTCGCGGTGTATTGTTCTGCTGGGCCCGTCGTAGTCGGGGCGATTAGCTCCAGTGTGTCTACATGCGCTTTGTGTAGGTGCGCCTGCCAACAAGCGACACGCGAAAGTCACCGCACACACCCTGGACCGGCCTTCGCAACCCGATTGATTGCCCCGCAACTACTTCGGCAGTACCCACACACCCCGTACAGGAAGACAGGAGCCAGTTCTGAAACATTGGCTTCGATTGGCCCGAAAAAATATGAAAAAATAGCATACACGTAGACACACCGCTGGCCGATGGATCCTGTTCTAATACCTGTGCAGCAACCGCTCTCGACGTGGGCGACGAACCATATAGATGAAGAGCCTCGACTCGAATTGACGTATAATATCCTGCTGTCTTTGGGCGCTGACTGCTGTATGGTAATTACAACAACTCAACGATGATAAAACGCCTACGCTGACCAATTTGGATGCGCCAAGCACCGGCGGCGCGAAGTGCTGTTGTTTGCGTCTCCACCGTTTTCATTTCCTGATTTGGCGGGAAGTTGCACATGATCATTTACTTGCGGCCTTACATTTAGTCCTCACGTATTGAGATCATCAACAGCCAAATGTCTCTTGCGAAACATGGGTACAACAGTCTACATATGACCAAATCTTCGACAAACCACTTGAATTGGCTGTGTTTTCCAGCCCACCTTTCCCGTCCCGCCCTCACCTGCACTTCGGTTTACGTGCACCGGTTTTGTATTCCCAGCGAAATACCTGTTTTTCGCAACTTTTGAGAATTTTGCGAGAGTTCCACAGTTAACCGTTTGTGTGTCAGAGCTAGCGACCGCCGCGTTTCCCTGGCTTGCAGATTTCAATCGCGGTCTCACCACCTCGTTCGTCCTTTTGCCCAACGTTGTGCCCCAATCCCAACCCTTCGGTCGGCGCACGATTCGCCTCCACCAGGCTCGTGAAGGTGAGTTCTTGGGTACTGGTTTTAGTCAGCGTTCTGGCGCTCGCGCTTGACGTTGTTCGTACCGTCTGAACCTCTCACATCGACTCTCGTTGGTAGTTTTCGACGTTGCTTAAGGCTCGAAAGACAGAAGGATTGCGTGAGGTATGGGCAGGTGGGCAGCTGTCGGTCGTTTCGAGGTAGTGGATGTACCCGTTACATGTCGACAGCGGCCGTTCCGCGTCGCCCCAAGTCTCCACCATGGTAGCGCCGGGCGTGCAGAGCATTCTCGTCCTTTAACCAAGGGTCACCGTTGAACGGTGAAAAAAAGTCTTCCCAAACTTGCTGCCTCTTGTTTTCGTCGTTATATCACATGTGGGACTGCTGTCGGGCGTTGTTGATACCCGAAGACACGCGTTGCGTGCCGTTTACTCTCGCTGCGTAAGTGGCAATTGTGGACTGCTTTCGTCTTGTTCACCTCCCGCCGCGTCTTGCACTCTTCCTTCTGTCGTTTCGCGCCCAAAGACCCACGAAGACAGCCGCAAAAAGCTGGAGTTGGCCCACGCGAAAGAGATAGAAGACATGACGAAAGCGATAGAAGACGCGAAGAAGAACGAACGGGAGGCGATCGAAACGGCCGAAAAGGTGGGGGCACCGTGCTCCAATATATTGGGAGACGGGTGTGTGGGATGCGCATTTGGTGTTGTTCGTTTTTCTTCGTTTTGGTTTACCTTCCGCAGCGTCTTGCACCCTTTCGTCCATCGTGTCGCGTCCAAAGATTCACGAAGACGGTCGGAAAAAGCTGGAGTTGGCCCACGCGAAAGAGATAGAAGACATGAAGAAAGATGTAAAAGACATGAAGAAAGAGATAGAAGACGTGAAGAAAGAGATAGAAGACGTGAAGAAGAACGAACGAGAGGCGATCGAAACGACCGAAAAGGTGGGGGCACGGGAATTCAACATTGGGAGACGGGTGTGCGGGATGGTCGTTACTGTATGGCGGGGGGGGTGCATGTCAGGGTGTCTCAAGAGATGAAAGGCGGAGTTCAAGCGAAATACCCTTGCGCTTTAAACATCGGGGGGACGTGTCCTAAATGGGGTGGAGGAGCGTATTGCACGCCCAAAAGACCAAAAAGTCAAGTAGCTACTTTTGAATTTGGACTAAGCATCCTTGATACTTTCCGTTGCTTGTAATTGACCAAGCGAAATAACCCTGCACGCAAGATTTTCGACATAACCAGCTTCGGAGGAACCCACAGGTTTGAAGCATGCACTCTCAACCAACCCTTAAGGTGCCAGGGACGAAATATGCCTTATTTAGTTGTTTGGTGCCGTTTTTTCTTGTTGGTCTTGGGGGTCTTTCGTCCCAAGACATAGCACATGGGTCATGCTCTTTTGGTTGAGCTTTGTGCTACAAAGCCCGATCTGACTGGTTGGACAGCGAGTGATGCACGCGGTAGACCATGTGGGCATGTCGGGGGCGTAGTGGGGCCGATAAAATGTTCGATTTTCCAATGACCGAGCATTTTTGAACGCGTCGGGTCGTTTTGGTGGGGGTATCGACCACCCAGCTGACGCGCTGCAGCCGTCTTGCTCTGTACGGTAGTGGAGTTGTGTTCTCTGCAAGGGTTAACGTGAAGCAGGTTTCTTCCCGGTTTGGTGTGATTTGGGGTGTTTGCTGGCTGAAATAGTGTATTTTGCTGTCTGTGTTGATTCACGCCACAACCTTTTGCGACCCGGCCGGGGGTTTTGTCTTTTGTCCTATTCCTGCGCCTGTGTATCTGAGTGCGCCTCACTGCTGTTTTCCCTGATTGTTTGGCAGCCCCGTGGGGTGTCCGCAGAGTATTTATCGCACCGCATTTTGATCCATGCCAAGTCAGGAGACACGCGAAACGCGGCATGGTGTTCTACACGAAGCATGTACAAATCACTATCGAGAATAGAGAGATGACTGTATTCAACAAGCGATGACGTGCACTCCAAAGAGAGACGAGGACGACCTTCGCCTCCGTGTGTGTGTGTGTGTGTGTGTGTGTGTGTGTGTTTTTGGCAAGGCCGTTCTCCTCTACGTCTGACAACGTCCCAGGGTGTTCATGTCCAACGACGACGTTGATGCACCGCCCCGGAGACGTCTTTCCAGGGTATTTCGATATGCTCTCCTGATATGATATGCTATAATAGTATGTGCTCTTGTGTGGTTGGGCGATAATGGCGGCCCCCCTTTGCTCGTGGTTGTCTGTTCGCCGCCATCACCTACAAGACTTTCGCGGAGCTGAAGAATTGCACAATAGAGAAGGAGAAGATTAAGACAGAGCTGGGCGAGGCAAGGGCGGCGCTGGCGGAGGCAGCGGCAGCGACTGCACGGGCCCCCGCCAACAGGCGTAGGGTCACCGCCATCGGAGTTCGTCAGATTTCTCCCGTCGGGGGGGGCGCGGGGCCAAAAGGAGGAGGGTCTCAGTATGCGATGGAAGACGGGGAGGATGACAACGGAAGGGGGACGGCAAGCGGGTTGGGGAGGGATGACAGCGGCGGTCAACCGATGGAGGGCGGTGACGACGAGGGACAGGAGGGCAACGACGATGAGGAACAAGAGGGCAATGGCGACGAGGGACAGGAGGGCAGTGACGACAATGAGGACGGGGAGGGGGGCGTGGAAGAGGAGGGTGACGCAGACGACAACGGGAAAGGAGGCGCTGGGTGGTTCGGGTGGATCACCGGGAGCGCCAAGAAGAGGCGTAGGGGCGAGTAACCAATCGTGCCGTGTCAGCCTCAAAGCCTGCATTACGTTCGAGTTAGGCTACCTCCCCCAGGAGTTATGCCGCCCATGGGGGTTTCACTCGCCCGTGGTTGGGTGGTTGGGTGTGACTTTGTGAACCGCTGTCTTTCAATCACACTCCCAATCCGTGCACTAGTTGGCGTGCGGATCTGACATCTTTCCCGGTGCTTTCCCCTCCGGGTCGAGTCCCAGGAGGCAGAAAAGGCGCTTGTACAGACCGGGAACTTTAACTTTGACTCTATCGGGCTAGAGTTCCAACCCGGCTATTTCACTTAGGTACCCTCCCGTGGCGCGCGTTTGAGGACTGTTTGTAAGGATGCAAAATCGGGTAAGGTATTACAGCATTTAGCCGACATTTGTCTACAGCCAAGAAGCCTTTATCAAGCTTGCGCTCGTGCCTGCATTCGAAGGCCTTCCGTTCACGTGTCGTGTACCTTTGTGTTTTGGGAGTTTTCACGGAAGCAATCGAAGCCGTATTCAACCACCGAGTGTGAAGCGTGTTTTTTGTCCCTGATGAATGATTCTACTGTAGCTTGAAGCACTGCGTGAGGTATCGAGGCTACAAAGTCCGGCCACCGTATTGTTCTGTTGTATTTTTGTGTTGGAGGGTTTCTTTGCTTTCGAGGTGTTGTTAGAGAAGGTAGCACAAGTGTTTTAAAGTTGTAGTTTAACGAACACTTTTCGAGGCTCTGCCGTTTTGTGCAATGTGGTCGTCTTTCCGCTAAAAGTACACATCGCCCAGCGGCGTTGAGTCAACCGACGGCGTTGAGCCACGATTGGCGGTGCTTGTACGTGTAAGGATCGAGTAGTCGAGAGTGCAGACCACTGGTAAAGATGCTCGACAAGAAGGGCACAGTAGAAAACAGATTGTTTTTGGGGTTATTTGTTACTTGGCGCTTTTTGCACGAATACCTTCGAAGCGATGTGTGTACGTGTTTGTGGTACATCGATGCGTGTTACTCACCGAGCTCGTTTTTCTCGACGTTTCAGGGGATGGGAGCGACTGCCGGACGTATTGCTACGCTGGTTGATGATGTAGCTCGGGATGTAGATACCGTTTGTAAATGCGGGCGTAGCTTCCCCGCATATCTGCGTAGTGTTGATCAGAGGAAGTCATGCATTGGGCGTACCATGCACAGTAACGGTTCTTGTCCGACCACCGACCCAGGCGCAATCCATGCAAACACAGATGCCGACGACTTTTATCATTGGCTAGGGCTATTTATGCTAGTTCCTCTTTTGGCGAGGCAGGTGGTGACAGTCAAGAGCTTAATGGTTTGTTTGGATCGAGTGTTGGTTGTCGAAACGAACAACTAGTTGAGACCGGAGGAGAGTTGATTGGAACATACCAGGAGGCTGTAGGCTGTGTTATTGTCGGGCGATGAACATGAATATTTCAATTTTTCGACACTATCCTGCTCTGAATTCGATGAGCGGTCACGACACACTGCACGTCTTCAAGATGTGGGCGCTGAAGCGGGGGGTGCCGAAACCCCTTGAAGGCTGAAGCTTGCTTGGAGGCTTTCCTGACATGTGTTGAAGCAATTTGGTCGAAGCGAGCTCGACGACGTAACTTTATTGAACCGTCGCTACCGGCATTAACTGCTGCGTGGCGAGAGTTACGGACGAGCCACCGAGGCGTTTCGTGAACCATCCACAGCAAGCGAAATCCGGCGTATCTGTATTATTAACAAATCAAAACTTTGCATGCATAGGCCATATAGTAGCATACAGTAAGACTAGTAGACCTGCACCGCTGTTGGTGAGAGATTTCACCTCGACCAATGTGTTGACCGTGCGGTACGTTAACAACGTGCGTAGTGTTCCGTGTCGACGGCATACAGCACAATCACGTGCGGCGGAAACGGCAAGAAGCGGTCGGCGTGGTCGGTGAGGAACCCGATAAATCTCTAGGCACGTACTGCCTGGCAAGCTTGTCCCAGTGAAAACGCCTCATCATCAGCTTGGTCTATTGTAACAATGAACAAACACCTTCCCGATCCCCCTAAACGCTACAAAAACACCACAAGAATACAAGCAACTGCCTCCTCAGTTGTCCGCACGGTCAACCCCTCCGCCTCCCATACCGCCTTAGGGTTGATTGAAATCGCACCTCATATAGACGAGAGAGATCTCGCGAGCTTTCCTGCATCTGGACGCACGCGCGTCCAAAGCGTCGCAATTTCTCCCTCTGCTGGGTGGAAACGTTTCGGCGGGACTGTGCCAGGCAGGGATGGCGGTGTCGGATATGATGCCATACACAAAAAAAACTGATGCCACGATAGCCGACAGAGAGGATCGAACTCTCGGCCTACACCTTACGAAGGTGCCGCTCTACCACTGAGCTATGCCGGCAAGTTGATGACTGTCAAAGGTGTTGGCATAATTTATTCAACAACTCATGACTTGTAGGGGGGGTGGGGGGTGTACTCATAGTGGTACATGTCGTAGACTAGTCGTTGGACCATTGACCTCGCATCCCTACAAAGTCGGGAAGGAGCACGACGGGTTCTCACCGGGCCAGGCTCTCACATCACCAAGCGCGAAACGCGGTGAGGTATTCGGCGAGTCGCATGGAGGGTGCGCTGCGTCCTGCTAAGGGTGTTCGGCATCTTGTGCTTCCTTCCTTGCATTCGAACGTATTTTCTGGTGCTTTCACTTCCAGAGTTGAAGGCACTGTGTAACTACCTCGAGGGTGATCAACGTGGTACTGCCATCCCCTTTGTGCGGAGTGTGAGGGTTCTCGCCCCCGCACAACACAATGACGTATCATATGGTTACCGCAAAAAAACACACACAAAAAAAAAGCGGTATTATAGTATAACCTGGTTGTCGACCTCATGAAGTGATCGGCTTGTTGTTGTATATACAACGGTTGGCAAGCGACGAAAACCTGACCCCGATGGCAAACACCGGGGCGAAAATTGTGAGGGGGGGGGAGCTGTGGTAAATTTCTGGTAAATTTGGTCTAAAGGCCACAAAGTGATGTACAGTAGGGGGACTTGTTTAGTGCCCGTATACGTGTCCAGATATTTCCCCGGCACTAAACCGGGCACCCGGCACTATTGCGAATAGTGCCAAAACGGCACTATTGAGGGCTGGCCAATCCCTCATTAGTGCCGGTGAGGTTGTGTTCCACTTATACGGTGTAGCGCCCACGCTTGCAGGGTCAACAGAGTACGAAATGGATCGACACTACTGTTGAGTGAAGTTCCAGCGTCGGCGTGGGCAGACTTTCTTTCCTGCGACAGGTGTGGTTCGAACCTCCTGTGGAGCCCACAAGAGTTTGTTGTAAAATAAGATACAGCAGTAGTTTCGGGCTACAGCCTAACCAGGACTAGTCGACGGCGAAAGAAGACACGTCATATACTCGAGTAAACTGTGACGGCACAAACTGCTTGTAATGCTCTCGTTCGTACAAAATATCACTGCTCGTTGCCTACTTCGATGATGTTGCAGAATGAAAATGAAGATAACTAAAAAAAAAAAAGCGCACCAAAGAAAACAGAAAAAACCCCTACAACTACAGCTAGCTGTAACCCCCGCCCTCACTACGTCGGGACAAATTCTCTCCTGTCTGCCTGGCGCACCCGCTTCGATGTTGCAAGAAAAAGCAAAAAAAACAATAAAAACGAGAAGCACGACAGGCAGCGCACCGCAACAAATCGAACAACCATCACTACCACAGCTAGCTGTACCCCCCGCCCTTACTCCGTAGCAGCAACAAACTCTCTCATGTCTACTTGGCGCAGCACGTGTACCCTATTTCTCTGTGTGGAGTCTGTCTTGTCTGCCTGGTGTGTGTGTGTGTATGTTCGCGCGCGCGGGGTAACCGGCACTATTGGGGGTGACAGCGGCGCCGAACGGGCCCTATACCGGGCAAGCTCTCAATAGTGCCGGCACTATTGAGAGCACCGCCTGTGTCCAGAGATTTTACCGGCGCTATATGAGGCACCTAGCACTAATCAACCGGCACTAAACAGGTCCCCCTACTGTATGTCGAGACGGTGATAGCGGGCGTAATGTCAAAGAAAAAAAGATTACGCTGTGTTAGCCGACAGAGAGGATCGAACTCTCGGCCTACACCTTACGAAGGTGCCGCTCTACCACTGAGCTATGCCGGCAACTTGAGTGCTCAACTCACGGCGACGGGATTCTCTTTGCAGCATTTAATGACTTGTCGGGGGGGCGGGGGCGGAGCGGGGGGGCGAGCGGTGAAATTGGTCTGAAGGCTACCAAGTGTTCTTGATGGCGAATCTGCACCGTGCCCAGGAAACCGAACGAGCTCGCAAAGCGTGGGAACTACAAATAAATGTTTGGGGTAATGAACATGACCAGGCGCCTTTTGAAGCGGGTGACCCGCAAACGCCCCGTCAGAACCAAGACCAGATGGTACATCAGCCATGGCTGCCTCGTTCAACTCCTATGTTCGAAGGAATTTACGTTAGCACAGTTCTCATTCAGTCGGCAGAGAAAAACGTTGCTTCCAAAGTGGGTTTTCCCGTTGTTTTTGCGCTTCAAAGCGCGTATTTGTTGAACCACGTGAACCCCGACCAAGCACAAGACTCGTACACAGCGATATACTTTCGTCTCGCCCATTTTTTCAATTTTTATCAGAGTTGAAAATCGAGCTGTTTTGAAGGTTTCTGGCGACGTAGCGAGCAAGAATTGATTGTGGTGTCATCTGGTCTCGGTTCGAAAGAGGGAAATTACCTGCGCGACGCATCGCACTTTTGAGTTTAGTTCAATAAATCTGTAGTACTCCCATTTACCAACGCTCAGAGTGCCAACACCGTGACGCCAGGGTCGTGTGCCGCTGTCCAACGCATGGCGCGGTGATCGATTTGTCACTGCGATGGACGAAACGGATCTCGCCGCTCCCGCAAATTTGTCACCGCCGCCCACTACAGGAAGAGCTGCCCCAACTGTAGCAAGAATCTATCAAACTTCATGTTGATAGAAAATTGACGAAGGTCCCTGTTGGATAGTCTCGGCTAGAGATCAATGATCAAATTCGTCATAACCATTCCTCGCCTTTCCGTGTTCTGTCGCTGCTACGTACATCAAACGCAATTGTTTCGCTCAGGCCGAGGCAACTCTCCTTAATAAGAAGATGGTCCTGTGCTCCTGCGTGTTGCCCCAATGTCCTCACACCTCTCACCTTTCGAAACACCCATTGCCAGGAATACCGGCGATGTGCCAAGGTGCAGGTTAGTTCCCGCGTCGATCATCTGTCTGTGTATTGGCCGTCACCGTGAAATCATGAGAGAACGGGAAAACATGTAACATGCCCGTTGGCCGCAGATGGCAAAAAACAAACTCGGGGCCATAGGTACCTCCACAGTCTAGTTGCACCGGCCGCCAAACGGAAGATGATGTGATTCTAAGAGCATCATCGGTGCGCCTTGCGCGAGCGAATCGTCGGATGCGTGTCCTGCCGTGGTCTACTCTGTAAGTAGCTACCCGAGCCGCTCGCTCCTTTCCGAGATTGTATGCAGTTTCTTGTTTTTTCTTCCACAACAAACCTTCATTCATTGTACATTGTAGATGTTCTTTTTTCAGGAACGAACGAAGGATCGGGGCCCCTCGCGCTCACGGGAAGTCCTCCAACACATCATGACAGTCTACCCTACTGCTGTACTTCCTTGCCCCGCTTGGGAAACGGGCTGCTTCGTGCAGAGAAGCGTCGGCGCTTCTTGCGCGCGGAAAAATAGCCCGACACATGGCTACTTGAATTTTGCATTCTCGCCTTCTTGCGAAATGTAATGCTGCTGATTCGTGGAAGGAAAGGATACTAATCGGTGCTTCCGCTGTGAGTGCGACAAGCATGGGACACGTCCATGTTTTCGAAATCGTCGCTCACAGTACTCTCCCAGATCACCAGAAATCAGTTGGTGGCCAAAACGAGAACAAGATCGATACTCCCCGTATTCTGTGAAATGATCAGATAGGTTGGAATGCATAACTACAGTAGTGGTCCCGATATAGTGGCATGAAGTGGCAAGAGAAAATCATGTTACAATTCAGGGCAGAGCCACTATATCGGAGAATAAGTTTTGATGCTTACGCTACGGACAGGTGTTCCTTGGATCTTCACTCGTATGCGTTGTGAATGTATTTTAGGGTCCCTGTTTTGTTGTGCACCACGATCCGCGTGAAACGCAGGTGTCGGCCCATCATGTGTGCAATGACACTTGATTGTTCTCGGGACAACGAGGCCTGCGGCGATCGCAACCTTCGCTTGTGTGCAGGCTGGGGAATGCAGAAACAAAGTAACATTTTTTTTTTTTGTCCGGCCATCCATCATGGGGTTCAACAGAAGCAAAACACACATGTTGACATCAATGTACGTGTAACATCAATGTACGCAAAACAAACCGGAGTAACCAAGTTGAAAACGTCAAACA